TATTGAACACAAAACAGAGTTACATTCTTGGCTCAAGATATAGATTTAGGTGTTTTAAACATTTCAAATTGCACTACTGTGCGTCAATAAGCAATAACACAATAGTGAGTCATTTATATACACATATACATCTTAGACCATAAAGGAAAGACAAATAAAAGTAGTTATTATGACAAATGCCAATACAACCAAGGAGTAGTGAAACAACATTAATTAACCATGTATATGCATATATGTACATGTGTTACTAACATACATAGGGGGACAGAATAGCCTTATTTGTTTAACTCCTGTAGGTCTTGGCCATCAGATTTCGATGGTTTACCTTTAGGGATTCTCAGGAAGTGTCTTGAGCTTTTCAAAATATTGTGTGCGTCAACAAGCAATAACACAATAGTGAGTCATTTATATACACATATACAACTTAGAGCATAAAGAAAAGGCAAAACCAAAAAAGTAGTTATCATGACAAATACAAATACAACCAAGGAGTCTTAACGAGCTTTCTAATGAGCTGGAAACGCTCTCCCAAAAAATCTCTTTACCACCAGAGACCATAGAAACATGATTCTCCTGCTCCTTTAGTCTAATATTTAAGGTTTGGAGATGTTTAAGGCCATGGTCTCAGACCTGGAGAGGGCCTGTCCTGTACCCCGACATGGGAAAAGAGCGAATGTTTGAAGGGCCCTTCCTGTTAAAGGGGAGTTTTTCCCTCCCACAGTCACCCATCTGAGAGCGAACCTTTGTTAACTCATTGACTGCCAGCCATTTTCAGAACAGAGAGTCCCATACTGCCAGAGTTTTTGAGCATTTTGACTGATTTTTCAAGAGCCACAGAATAGTTTGTGCTATGACTATGTAAACACCGAACACACCAAAAGAAAGAGTAGACTCTCTTCTTTCATCAGGACAAAAAATGTGTTTCTACCTTATTCCGTTCTTCCTCGACATGCGTCTCAACGGCGCCATTTCTCGCATAGCGAACCATCGCGTTTTTTTTTATTTGCCTACAGTCTATGCTCATCTCCCATCAAAAGTGGCACTGCCACCTAGAGGGTCAATTTGTTACTACATACTCTGTCTGGAAGCCGATATTTACGGAAAAACTTTAGCCGATCGTCCCCCAAGCCACTCTCGTTGAAAAACATAAAAGACGTCTATAGACGTCTTTGGCAGCGAACGGTTGTATTTGAATTGACGTCTATAGACGTCTTTGGCAGCCAATGAGTTAATCTTCCTCCCAAAAAGGTTGTGAACACGCGCCATCGTGAGTAAGAGCTCGCTAGGAGGTGGGTGTCGGACTCCATCTGGGCTGTTACCAGTCCTCTCTGCTCACGGTCAGAGAGAAAAACCCACCTAAACTCCAGTTTCAATCAGAAAAAGTGCAGCGAAAACATTCCTCCTCCTGTTGTTATGACGACTTTGTGTGGAAAGATCTTTAAAAAGAGCAAAGGAGTGGAAGGTGGCAATAAAGACCAGATCTAATCGTAATAAAGGAGTCCCATAAAAAAGAAAAACCAGGTTGAAGTTGAAGGCTTGGGAGTAAAAATGTGTTTTGGAAAGCCTTAAAGGTGGTTCACAGAGAGGCCCCTTTAACATGCTTAAAAACAAGGAAGTCATCTTTAAATTAACCCGATAAAGTCCAAAAGTGCACGAGTTAGAGAAGCTTCTTCTCCAGCCGAAAAAGCAGATTGTTCTGATCTTTGTCCAGGATCCAGTCCTGGTTCTGAGCATGCACTAGGTGACCGTGGGAGGGAAAAACTCCCCTTTAACAGGAGGAAAGCAGAACCAAGAGAAAATCACCTTTTTCTGAGCTTTAAATTGGCCCGTTTAGGCCAAAAGTGTCAGGTGTTGCTTGTTATTTGTTGTTGTTTTATTCATAGCGTCTAGTTTCTTTGTAATTCAAATGTAATTTAGCCAAACTTAGCCTTGTTTTCACCAGACTCACTTTTTGTCTGTAAATCTAGAGAAAATTAGCTTTTTCTGAGCTTTAAATTGGGCCGTTTAGGCCAAAAGTCTCAGGATTTGCCTTGATTTGTAAAATTAGTCCGGTTAGAAACCTATTTCCGGTGTGTGTGTGCGTTATTAGGGGCTCATTTAAAAGCTTGACATGTGGGTAAAAAAAAAGCTCCTGATCCAGAATAGATGGAGAAAAGTTGCATTTTGAATAAGAAACCCCAGATTTGCTTAGAGGGGGCTAGTTTTTCACAGATTTGATGAGAACTTATGTATTTTCCTCCATCATCCCCGGATAAACTAAGTCACTCCTCTGTTTTTCTGCCCGTTTATTACCTTCCATCAAACCTTTTTCTCGGCCCTGTTCATTTCCGCGACATAAACAAGAGCAAAACACGTCGGAGTGGATGTTTTTTTGGAGAGGATTTGCACTTGTTTTGCCATCTGCGGCTCCATCTGCACGACTCCGAGACGGCTTAGCTTTGTTTACATCAATCCCTCCGAAGTTCGGAGATGGATGTGACAGTAGTGATTTGCTGGCGTTGCCACGGCTCCCGGCGGCCATCATCTGAAACATGACGTGATGTGTCGGCCAAAAAAAAGCCTCCGTTTTCTGCTCTGAACGATGTGAATAATGTGTTTACAAGAGCAGTTTTGGGCCTCTCCAGGAAATGCATTGGCCCTTTTTCCTGGGGTCCATAAATGATTAATCAGCCAGGACTAGGAATGTGCTTTTATTTTGGTTTGGAGAGAAAATTAAACCAGTTTTGGAGGATTTTGGCAATTATTTTGTGACTTTCTTGAAAATAATAATATCAAAGTAGAAGGCTGGGATGCTGTTAGAATTTGAAATCCATCCATCCATCCATCCATCAATATATCCATTAATCCATCCATCCATCATCCCTCCAACCATCTATCTATCATCCATCCATCCATCCAACCAAACACCATCCATCCATCCATCAATATATCAATTAATCCATCCAACCAAACACCATCCATCCATCCATCAATATATCCATTAATCCATCCATCCATCCGTCAATATATCAATTAATCCATCCATCCACCCATCCATCCATCCAACCAACCAACCATCTATCCATCCATCCATCCATCCATCCATCCATCCATCATTGTATTTGGAGGATGAAGATTATCTTTAATAGATAATCTTTAATAGTGAGCGTGCAGTTAAAAATGTTACAGCCATTTTAAGCCAGACAGAAAAGGCTGTTTTTCCTTAAACATTTGCCAGACACTCAACCACTTTCATCCAGGCTAAACCTTTCAGAGGGAGTCCCTAAAGCCGGCTAACTATCACTATCACCTAACACTATCCACCTCTCATTTTGACCTACATATACACATATTGTTTTTTATGTATATATCTAGCTATATTATATGAGGAATATTGTATATATATATATGTATATATGTATAGACATGTATATATGTAAATGCCTTTGTTTTGCTTATGGAGCCTGTAACAAAAATAATTTCCCTCTGGGATTATTAAAGTAGCGGCACGGTGGTGTGGTGGTTAGCACTGTCGCCTCCCAGCCAGAGGGTTCTGGGTTGGAGTCCCGGGGGAACCAGGACCAGAGGGT